CAGTATAAACGAGCATTCTTCAGTTTATTGTTTTCAAAATTTGACGTTTTCTGCTTATCATATTCAAATCTACATGTACGTAATAATTTTCGTCACAAGGGTTATTACGATAACAATTTAAAAGTCGTAGAAATGCATATCTTTTTTCGGCACATTCATTATTATACCAAGGGCAATCAATTTTAACGCTATGCTCGCTATTTAAATTATTAATAACTTTTATATTTTTCTTAAATAGAGGTGATGCAACATCATCTATAATATTTTCAAAATTATTCAGACAATGATTTATAGTATTGCCTTCTTACATAATAAAATATCATCTTTCAACCCATTTATCTTTTCTTTTATACCAGTACAATTCAAACGATGAACAAACTCTGAACATAAATCGTTGTTCCACGCATATTTCATTTTAACGGTATCTGATATATTTTCATCAATACACAAAGGAACATTTACATTTTTATCAAACACAATATCAAACTCAATTAAACAGTGATCAGATAAAATATTTGGTTCATGTACATGAAATTTTTTAACATGTTTAAAAGAATTTTGTTTACATAATACATAATCAATAACACTAGCACCACGGTTATTTACAAAAGTATAATTACCAATATTCAAATCGTTTCCTGATCTACCATTTAGTATTCGTAACCCTGTTTGTTTACAAAAATCAATTAAAGCTAATCCATTATTATTAACATGACCGTAATCTTTTGATATCCTGGGTGACTCATTATCAATAATATAATCATCAGGTAAAATATCTATATGTGTCATATTATCAAATGCAACAAAATCTGGTAAATTTGAGGTACGTGCGTTATAATCGCCACAAAGGAAATAATGTGAATGCGTGGAAGAATCATTTTCTATAAAAATACATGAATCAATCAAACGATCGAAAATATTGTCATTCACTAGTGATTGTCTACTACTGTCATCTGGTATGACATAACATAAACCAATGTAGAGATCTTCAATGGTATTCAACGTACATGACTTTATCTTGATCCATAAGATGTCATCTTTACTTTGATACACAAGCATATCTGGAGAGAACAGTTTATTTCTAATGTACAAAATTATACCTCCAGAATTACGCTTACACGATTTTTTAATCATAGTTCTGTTCAATACAAAATATTCAAAACCTTTCACGTTTAATTCCGAAAACTCATTTGTCCATGATTCAGTTAATAAAATTATGTCATTATTATCAAAAATTGATTTTAACTCTTCAGATTCCAGTTTATTAGTTCTTTTTGTTACCAAACCATTTATATTCAATAATGCAATACGAATTTGTACCTTCCCCGACATATCCTAGTTATTGCCTTGATGCGCTTTCGGTGTAAGTGGGTCAGCGATGGATTTACCTGTTGATCTATTTTTAGACGCAGGTGAAAACCCGTTTCTATTTCTAGACATACTTCGATTATACGGGTTTGATGACTGTGACCGTTTTTCACTGCGACCTTGTGTCCGGGAAACATGTGACACACCTTTTCGTACTGTGTTTTCATTTTGTGTTGAGTGTGTTGTTGACCTGTCATATTCTAAGGTATTTGATGGATTTAAGATTTTGGGACTACTGTTATCATTAAGCAAGGTAGGTGTACTACTATCATCTGTCTGTGAGTTCAATAATTCTGTGCTTAAATTAATTGTTTGTTTACTGCAACTTTGTAATGACACAGTTTTTTCTGTCTCATGTGTTTTACTGCGGATGTGTTTGACATTGTTTCAATATTTCTTTCTGGAAAATTAATTGTCATTATTGCTTCTGTAATCGGGTATCCGCCACTCTCGCAATTTTGCACTATATTACTTTCACGTAAATGATCTGTTGTAGAGTGCGTGTTTTGACTCTGGGGAACATGTTGATCAGTTGTGTCAGGAGTGTTGTACCTCAATATGTCTTGTTGGTGGTTATTTTGTGCTGTTGTGTTAGCACCATAAATAAACTGGTTATTGTCTGGTATTATTGTCCTTATTGAAGGGTTAGAATCACGTGATACTGTATCCATATGAGTATTTTCAGTATTTACGGAAACTAAGGGGGGCCATTCAACATTATCATCCTGGTGTAAAAATGTTTGAGTTCGTTTCTGTTGACATGTATCAGGCACATTCTGATTCCGTGTGTATTTTCACATCGAGGGCGCCATTTTGTTTGAAAAATGTGATAAATAAAAACAATTTTTTGTCGAATTTTGTTGTGAAAATTATCTAGAATGAAAGAAAATAGTCTAACTAAGAAAATGAATTCGAACACCAATATCTTTTATTCAGTCGTTAACGCTGTACAAACGTTTAAAGTATTGTTTACGTGACGTCACAATGTAGCGCCAAACAGCACGTGCAAAACAATCAAATCAAGTACGCTATTTTAATGTCGCAAACGAGTTAAGTTTTACATTTATTATATACTTATAAATGAAATATTGAGAAATATTGATGAAATAAAATGCGTATTTTCATTTTCCGTATTTTCACTGTAAAAATTTATTTTTCACTGCAGTGAAACATATTTTCCGTATTTTCACTGGTGTCTTGCCAGACTACTTTCTTTTAAATTCTGCCAGTACACAAAATTAAAGGGAAAGTCATTCAAATTTTATCGCTAAAAAGAGAAAATGTGTATAATAAACAGAAAATTCAAGTCTTTTCTATAAATACATTATTTATTTTCATCTTGTGGCATGAAAATTACCACATTTCACTCGTGGCTACCGCCACTCATGAAATATTTATTTTCATACCACTCGATGAAAATAAATCATGTATTTATAGAAAAAACTTGAATATCCTCTATTTATTTCACTTTTAATAATTTTTATTTCGCTTGAAAAATTATAGAGTGAAATAAAATAAACAAACAAAGTTTTATCAACGTTTCCAAAATTCGTTATTCTACACACAGAAGATTTAACGACAGTTTTTATATTTTTTCTTGAAAAGTAGTCCGTCAAACATGCATACCACGTGATCAAGTGCCGTAGATCAGTAAAATTATACGGCACCTTGTTATCGGGTCGAAATTGATACAAGTGACAGGATAAGGTGAAATAAGAGTCATCATTCATTGACGCGCCTAAAGTTTAACGCTAACATTTAGCGCGTCTTTACATTATGCTTGTATAATGCTAATGACGTCACGTCAAAATATATGCACGGCCGTGCAATACCATATTTACGGAGTCGTAAAATCGGCACGGGTGTGTGATAAAACACATTATGTCGACTTAAATAAAATGACTTGTCTACATAATATTCCAGTATCGCTACTTAAAGTTTTGCAGCATACTAATATATTCACATTTTTACGGAAACGTATATCGGCCTCGTCATGTTGTCTTGAATCCTGTTCAATTCGTCAAAATAACGGCAATTGTTATTTACTAAAGTACGGAAGCTTGTATGTACCCCCGCTATGAAGACATGAAGACTATGAAGACATGAAGTCGTCTCCCTCGACTAATAGAACACAACAAGTCGTCAAAATTACGACGACAAGTTTATATATACCATGTCATTTTGACAAAACATATGTCATCATGTCGCGATACGGTATCCCGACTTTCATACGTTAATATATTTGTCGACTAGAAGTAACATGGATGTCGACATACATGTTACTTCAAGTTGTTCCAGCATTACTGGTGGAAGAAGACCTCAGGTGCCCTTCCATGCATCATTTCAGGCACGAACGGGCGCCTGGGTAGAACCACCAACGTTCTGTAAGCTAGCTGGATAGCTTCCTCAAATGAAAGAATCCAAAGACCCTGTCGGGATTCGAACCCACAGCGGTGAGGGGCAACTGGTTCGAAGTCAACGACCTCAACAACTCGGCCACGGACGCCCCAAAATTGGGGTTTAGAACATGAAGATACGAATAATATGACGAATGAAGCTATAAACGTGGATTTATTCATATTAAAAGCGGCAAAATGTTTGGCAATATCGACCGGAGATATTTGAATATTCAATGACATTTTGTGGGCAATTGTCGGAATCAGAAGTACCAGTAAATCATTCGGATTTTTAAAGCATGGCATAACGGCATGCATCGCTTATGTTTAACTTAAGTTACCAATACAAAACTTGCCTATATAGCTAACCTCAGTGGTAAGGAGTTAAGACTTCTAGCTTTAAAAAATTAAAGGTTGTAGGTACGAATCAATAACCCATTGTACAACTTATGAAAATTTACAAATACATGTAACTGAACATTCAATAGTGTTGTAAAAAGAGTAAAATGTAAACAAACGTATTTTGACTTCCATACACAATTACTATAATTATACCAACTGTCAAAGTACAAAAGAAGCAAATCGTAGTTCATCTTTGGCAAATAATTAAACTTTAAAAAATGTTTAATGTTTTTAATATTGAAAAATAGTAAAAAAAAGTTTGTTTTTTCTTTTTTGTTATTCATGGTCAGCTTAGAAATGGTGAATTACATGGAGATATACAATGTACTATTATGTTAACATTGGAACTTTACTGATAAAAATTGTAACTTTCTTGAGTAAATATTGGAAAAATGAAACACAAACAATAAATATTTTAATTCAACAATTTTATTTTAACTTATGAAAAATAAGTGAAAATATAATTACAAAAATATGTAAATATAGAAAAATGAAACACAAACAATGAAATTTTAATTCAACATTTTTATTTAAATATATGAAAAATAAGTGTAAAAATAATTACAAAAATATGAATATATAGAAAAATGAAACACAATGAAATTTTTAATTCAACACTTTTATTTTAACTTATGAAAAATATGTAAAAAAAATAATTACAAAAAATTACAATAAAAATGAAAAATATATTAAACACAATAATAAAAAATAAAACTAGAAATATATCTATAGGACACTGATACCCCCACTTCATTTGAATTCCACTGTGACATATTAGTCACTGTGAACTTGACCTTCGAATCAATATGGCTCGTCTACTGACCATTGGTAATGTAACATAAATCACGGCTTTTTCCATCGGACAAGGAGTATAGAATGTAGGTACGTACAGACAGACAGACAGACTAACCTTATCACAGTACGCTCTCACTTTTTAAATGAGGGCACAACAAACAATGAACTTTTTAAATCACCATTTTATGTAAGCATGGTATACAAAAATCAACAACAACAAAAAAATAGAACTGCCACTGTCATGGCGTGAATACCCCCGCATACCACTTTGTCAGAATCAACAGTAGTCATTTAAAGCTAAAGGACAACCTCCCAGCCAAATCTGAGGGAAGTAAGCCAGTGCATTGCTAAGTCATGTATTCTACATGTTTTTAGTGGCAAAGATCAAAGTGACCTTTACCTTTGACCTACTGACCTCAAAATTGAAACTGCCACTGAATGACTTCAATAACCCCCCCCCCCCCCAGTCATGCAGTTTGCCTGGAGGTGTTTTATGATGAATATATGAGAACATAGTTATATGCTTCAAATGTGAAAATGTAAAACTCAATACACTGTGGACAGGCATTCTCAAGCATATGAGCAGACAAGCTTGATGAGCGGACCTCAAATGCCTGCATGCCAAATATGAAGACTGTTGGTCAAAGGGTTCTAAAGTTATTGGGCAGACAATATTTTTTCAGTCAAGGCACCTGTGACCTTGACCTTTGACCTCAAAATCAATAGAGGTCATCTACTAATCATGACTAACCTGCATGCCAAATATGAAGACTGTGGGACCGTGGGTCAAAGGAATCTTAAGTTATTGGGCGGACAAGCTTTTTGAAGTCAAGGACCCTGTGACCTTGACATTTGACCTGGTGACCTCAAAATCAATAGGGGTCATCTACTTATCATGACTAACCTCCATGCCAAAGATGAAGACTGTGGGTCAAAGGAATCTTAAGTTATTGGGCGGACAAGAAAAGACGGACGGACGCCTGACTGCCGGAGAGCCAGACAAGCTGATTCCTTCCCCCCTTACAACTTTGTTGTGCGGGGGTATAAATATAAGTAAATTACAAGAAATAAACACACTTATATCTGTAAGACCTACAACAATGTGTTTGACTATAAAATAAAGATTGTCTGAACCTTAACAGGGCATAAAAAGCTCGATCACAAAGGCTAAAATCCTGCTCAAGTTATGTGTCATGGACAGAGACCAAAAATTTAATATAGAATAATCCAAAAATCATGTGAAGAATATACCTAGTTGTTGTGAAAAATAATTTAACAAGTATGTATTCTGTAAATACTCAAAGGGACATAATTAAGCAACAAATCATGGTTCTTGATCAGTGAGCTTTTTTATGGTCATTAAGACAGAATGATATTACAACTGACCTGAAGGCTGATAAGGGTAGCCTAGCTTATAATTTTTGAAATAGTCAAGGTAAGCAATAACTATGAAAATATACAAATGAATAGCTAAATCAGTAGAAGACAAGCTATCAATACAAGATAAGTTTTCAAAAATCTACAAATAATTTTTCAAAAAAAAAAGTAATGATAAACATCATAAATCAATCTGAAATAAATAAAATATATTCTATTCACATATTTCATAATTATACAATAACAATTCATCTGTTGAATATTGATATTCCTGAAAACAAGAGGGCCATGAATGCACTATACAGCTCACCTGAGTATGATAATTGCTTTTAATAAAGTTTTTCTAGATTATCAAAATTAGAACTACTAATGACCAAGCTAGAAATTACTAAAACAATCTTTCAGCTAATTTTCCAGGATATTTGGACTGAAAATATTACCTCGAGTGTTAACACGGTTTTTCAAAGTTTGGGCTCTGTGACCTAGTTTTTCACCCAATATGGCACATGTTGTTAGTTGAGCTAGAAATAAAAAAAACAATCTCTGACATATTTCAAGGATATTTTGGCTTGCAAAGAGTCCTGTTTTGTTAACCAGATTTTCTGTATCTGGGTTCTGTGTGCTATCAACTGTTAACAAGGAATTTGCATGTTTGGGCTGTGTGACCTCGTTGTTTTCTGTGTGACCTAGTTTTTCACCTCATCTCAGACGACCCATGTTCTTGGTTGAGCTAGAAATCACCAAAACAATTTTTCTGACAAATTCGGGATATTTGGACTGAAAATGTTGTTAACAAGGTTTTCCATATTTTTGGTTTTGTGTCTTAGTGTTTCACCCCGAAACTTACAAAGTATCTGTCTGGACACATGACACTGTAGAATGGACAATTTAGGTAATTTTGATACCCTCCTTGACGGGTCTCAGATTTAAGTGTCAACATAATGAGAACTAAACAAACTAGTTTTTTAGTTATGATAATCATAGCTGTACTTTGTCAAACTTTCAGATATCTAGCTTTAAAATTATGAAATCAATATGGAAATATGTTCAAAAAGTGTCCGGTTGACAGTCTCCAAACAGCAGTGAAAGCATTTTGTCATTCAAAAGTCAACTTGACCAGAAAGAGAAGGTTTGACATAATTGGCATTTACTAAGTGTATTATCAATTAGTTTCAGATCACTCAAGAAGGTGCCTATAAGGGATGTTAAGCCCTTAAAAACAAGAAGGTGAAAAGGGTAAAACAGATAAAAGATGCTGTGTGTTGCTAAGTAGCATACATGTACAGTAGTAGTGAAATACATCTAAAATTAATTTTATCTATACGACAAACATAACAAACATGCAGCAAAAAACTCATATGGTTAAAAAAATCCGATAAAATAAAAATGTCTACAAAAGGTAAACTACTGCAGGGTTTCCGACCTGACCCTGCTTAGCATATATAAATATGCGCACACAGGGTATTTCAAATAGAAGCCCCTGATATATAAACGTTTGTTATGGTTAACATCTATAGTACAATTTTCGTCAAAATATTACAAAAAGAATTTATAAAGAGGGATTGTTATTTCACTCCAGCTAAATGTATCTCGAAAATGTCCAAACCACATAAATGGGAATTAAACTTCAATAAGCATTAGGTTACTTCCTGTCTGTGTATTGATTGTAAATGTAAAATTTGTTCTTGAATATGACGAATAAATATATTTTAATCAATAAGATGATAAGATACCTATAAAAATATATTTTCAGGTTATTAATTGAAAACATTTGAACGGTTTTATTGTTTAACATAAACATGATAAGTTGCATTAATTTAAACAACAATTTGCAGCAATTTTGAAGTATTATGTCCGAGAAAGGTACTGTATAGTGTATATATTGTTAATAAAATTAATATTTTCTTTCTAGTAGATTATGAAATAGATATATATTTCGAACGTTAACAAAAGATAGATGGAGGCAAGCAGAATCACTAGATTAAAAAAACGAAATAAACTTTATTGTCTGTGATTACCAAGCGATTTAATCTTTTAATTTGCAAATAAAGCATCTTTTATTTTTAAGATTTTTATATTTTTGTCTTTCAATCTCTAAATTACGTTTTTCCGTTTTTAATTGCGTTTCTACTAGTTGCAATTTAGCTGTTAACCCGCGTACTTTCAGGTCCTCGCGCCGTGCCATGGAGGCTTCGAATTTTTTGGCATCAACATTCATATGCAGATTAGCGAATTCATTTTGCTGAATCTCTAAAAGATCACACAAGGTTGTTCCTAACCAATCACAATTTGACCTCAATGTATTCAGATCTTCTTTTATATCGTTCAGCAACGTACATGTATTGGAGACATTTTTCACGCGGGCTTCTATATTTTGCTGTATTGTCAATGAATCATCATGTATTATCCCAGTGTCTGACATATTATTTTCGTCATCGTCTATCTTAAGTTCTTCCTCGTAGCATTTTTTTCTTTCTTCATTCTGTAAATTAAATCATGGTTGTAATTACTTTATCATTCACGTTTGATTATTTGATCAAATATAATGGAAATGGTGAAGAAGTTCAAAGTAAAAATGTTATTGTGATAAAACGTCTAGAAAATTGAATAGGAAAATGACTAAGAAGGTCATGGAATCACTATGGTTGTCAAATCCAAAACTCTGCAACAATAAATGTGTAGTAGAAATAAATGATATTAGGAAAGGAGGTAACTTGCGCATGAAAGAGTGATCCTTCGGAAGCATTTTTGAAAACAAAATTACATGAAAATTGCAGACTCAGTTTGATTAGGTCTGTCCATCAGCGATAATGGAAAAGTGCAACTTCCCTCACACCTCCTCCCTTTAGCACGGGCTTGACCGGTTCACAATTTATAAGACATAAGAGTGCTTAAATCAATGTGAGACGATGGTTCTTTATTATTTATTGCCGAAGTAAGCAGAAGTAATTGATTTAATACTAATCGCTGACAACCGGGAGGAAAAGTTCACAGTATGTACTAGCTTACATGTACTTCTTTTCAACAATCAACAATTTTACAATGTGGTTAAACTTTTTGCGAAAATCTCTCTTTAAAGGTAGTGAAACCAAAGCAGACGATTATTTCATGATGACGTATTGCTTTGCACTTTATTGTAGTTCAGTTTGATATTTGTAGAAAAAACAACCTATTCAAGCGCTCTTAAAGGAAATGGTCGCGAGTAGAGATCGAACCTCCATAATCATTAGCCAAAGCTCCATCTAATTTCAGTGTAAATTACCCATAAAAAACTACCGAGAACAAATAAAGAGAATCTATTATCTACGGTAGAGCTACCTCTTTCGAAGGTATACGGTAAATCGCTCAATCGCTACTTAATTCTGAGCTAGTGCATGTCGCCAAAATTAGGTGTCAAAAAGGTAAAGGGTTGTCATTTTTTGTATATTTTGAAAACTCTAAATATCGAAATTTAAGGAATGCTATACCATATAGATTTGATTTGAATTTCCAAGAATCGTGAAGTTGATGATTTTTTGCTGAAAGTATCGCTTATTTGTGAAATTATGTGCCCGAAACGAGCACCACGGAAAGGAAATGAAGCAATACCTTTATTGTACATCAAATTGAAAGAAGTGTATAAGCGCATACGGTATACATCATCAAAATATTTCCATTTCAAGATCGTATGTGAAAATTTCGATTTAAGAAATTTCGTCATATCTTAAAATACAATATCGTATATATTACATTATGAATTTTGATAATCGGTGTTCCCGACAGAATAGCAAAACTGTTTGTGTTTTGATATCCACGATGTAAATACAATCGTCTGAAACCGACTATTCAATTATTATTATATTTGACTATTTACTATGTTTATGTCTTTTATGTTCTGTACAAAAAGTTAAAACCTTTGAGGTCTTAATGTAACGTGGCAAAACTTATTATATATATAATCTCAAATGATATTGAATAATCGCAAGTTCAATACTTCATTTATCACGAATATAGATTGTACAGTATGCGATTTATCACATATACAAAGTAAAAGTTGTTTACAGTGAAAGCAATATAAGGACGATAACAATTTGAAAGCTGTACATATTAATGTTTTTCATGCAAATTACGTCATGATATACATGAATATTAAATATATTAGTATAATATTATTTCTATTAAATTTTTGTGCCGTGATAAGTGTAATGAATAAATTATACACAAACAATCAGATATTTTGTACGTAACCATAGTGGTATCTCTCTTGGCGACATGATTACCTCCTTCACGACAGACCTGCCTCGCGGAACAAATATTTTATATCTTCTTTAATAACTAACACCTGATCGATATTTAATTTAATTTAATTTCTAGACTTTATGTCTACTTTAAAATAATTTATGTTTTCATTTGAATCGCTGTTTAAATGAAAATTGGTGGAAAAATACAAAGTGATCTGTTTCAAGATGAAACGGTCCATTGCAACGCTAAAATCGCCAACTGGGAAAAGGCTCTACAACTACATTTCAAACATAATGATAACAACTTGACATTTTCTGGAAATTTAAATCAAATCTTAATGACATAGCATTCTCCGAATTTCGGTATGTGGTGTAAAGTTTACAAAATATATAAAAAATGACAAAACTTGACATCTTTTTTAGCGACATGCACTAGCTAGAGTGATATTCCGAATACCTCCGAACGAGGTAGCTTTATCATTTACCAGGCGTTTTTATGCCTGATTATGTTAAAATACTATAACATCAAATTACTTACTTTATTCAACACGTTAAAGTGACATGGCATGTGTTCTCTTTCAAGACGTGCTACTATCTTTGCCCGTCTGACAAGGAAACCTTTCAATGAAGAGCTCTCGATATCCTGGTATGTGTTGATCAGCTGCGCTATCAGCATGTTTAACAGTACAACAATAATAAAGAACATAAATATCATCATGACCATCGCGCCAGCAATCCTGAAATGTTAATAGATAACAGGGTAAGTGATGATTAAACTGTTAACCTTTCATTTTAAAACAAAAACATATACTAGCAGAGAATGAAATGATCACAAATAAATGCTTTCCATAACAATGAATGTCTTTTCGTCAGATCTTAATATTTCTCGTTTTATAAGAATATCAAAAATTTTCATTCATAATGCAGCATGTTGAAATGTAATTGAAACATTCCGAAACATATGGTCATATATTAAGCCAGTCTAAACAAGAAATGTCTCCGTTATCCAATACCCACATTTAAAAGGTTTCATGATTATTTCGCGCATGCGCCACAAAGTTGGAATATACCAACATATTTGTTTCAGTTAAGTACTTTTGTTCGATAATAATTACTACCATACAACTTATTTTTTTACAGACATTTCTTTATAAGTTTGATACAAATACTCATCATAAATAATACAAACGGCTTGTGATAATGCTAACACGTTCGACTGTTTTTATAGATGTTACTTACTTATAACCTTCGTCTCCAGTGTATTCAACAATACTGTCAGATTCAATCAAGATCCTTATACCAACAATCCCTATCTTCCAAAACGACCTGTAAGGAATGAAATTATATCACTTAATTAAAGTATGAAAACGGTTAAGATTAATTCCAATATTCTATTACTAATTAATATACAGAATCTCAATTTCACCTTTAAAGCTAGTTTCTTCTTTACCTTTTGTTCAATTGCCTTTACTTTAGATGGGTTTTGTAGTTTGATTTTTTGAAACATTTTCTGGGCAATGCAAGTATTGATGTTGTTATTAGTGTTTTTTTTTATGTCAAACTGATACTATTATGGTCATATGCCGACTTTTCAGCTTTACTAGTGGAAGTAGACTTCAGGTACCCCTCCGTAAATTACTTCAGGCACCAGCAGGCACCAGTACGCTACATTGTATATGCGGCAGTATGCTCTATACGGCAGTATGCTATATGCGGCAGTATGCTATATGCGGTAGTGTGCTATATTTTTTCAGTATATGACTTAGTGCTGATAGATGTATGCCGCAATATGCCATATATTTTTTCGCATAGCATACTCGACACGTATCGACGGAATGCGGCAGTTTGCAAAAACCTCTTATTTGACTTTATTTGTCTGTTATTTGAAATCAACCAATTAAATGTTGTATTATAAAAATCTGATCATTGTCTGTTATTCTTTTTAATCTTGTTGTTCTGTTATGGCCCCTGAATACTTAGCCTTGTGAGTGCAGTTGCTGTTGTGAGAAATGACCAGATATATATGCACGTATGTATATGTTTACAAAACACTTGGTAATGCAATTCAATGAATAAGTTTCCTAATAATCTTTACTTACTTAGTAACTCGAAATATCGACTTAGTAACTCGAAATTTCGACTTAGTAACTCGAAATTTCAACTTTCATTGCACGACTTTCATTGGTTGCCGGTGAAAGCAAGGATTGAATTCAAGATACTTTCTTTCGTGTGTAGCTGTTGCACATTGACAGAGCACCTTTAACATTTATTTAACAGAATAATTTAATAGGGTCAAATAGTCCACACAAACTGAACATATCCTTCGCTTTTTTGTGGAGGGGGGGTTGTAAAATCACACTTTCCACATTTCCGTGTTAAACGGATGTTTCTTTTTCTTAAGCACACATACAACCATCATGTGAAGAAACAACAAGTCCAAAACCCACCCTATTGTAAACTGTGCAATATCATGTGTTAAATAAGTTTTAAATGGCGTGTATACGCCAGTTAGTCTGTCACGTTTCTTTATACTAATAATGTTTTGTAGCATTATTCATTATTTACTAATACTTTGATTCATATTGTGTTGATAAAAGTCGATAAAAGTGGAACTTGTTGTTATATATATGTTGGGAATAATATAAAAGCATTCGATTTTACAAGAAATATAGTCAGTCCAACAATTTTGACAAAGGCCTCAGCACGCCCTATTTTGGCCACGCCGCGATACTTTCCTCAGATGTCCCACACGTGAAGTATAGGATCGTTTTATTCACAGGGATGAGAAGAATATGATTAGTGAAAAGATATGTTCGAACAGATGGGATACATTACAACGTCTGAAGAACGCCTGAACGTACAAATTAAAGGAAGCCTTATGTTTTTAGGTCGGGTGTGTACATGCCATTACTAAGTTTAAGTTAAATTTCAATAGTTTGTCCAGGCACCCGTTTCTCCATCTCCATCGTTCAACGGAACTCCCTACTATATCTTATATCATCTAACTAAAAACTTTGGCCATTCTTGTAATGTTAATAAGTCGAAATTTCCAGTTACTAAGTCGAAATTTCGAGTTACTAAGTCGAAATTTCGGGGTAGTAAGTCGAAATTTCGAGTTAGTAACTCGAAATTTCGAGATAAGTAACTCGAAATTTTGAGTTAGTAAGTCGAAACTCCGAGTTAGTAACTCGAAATTTCGAGTTAATAAAAAACATACACCTGGCACTAATGCTCTTCCGTAAAAATCTGACCTTGCTTTTAGACAATAATTCACATTAGCTAGACTTTGCCGGGATGCCTTGTATAAAATGAAATTCCGTTGGAAATATACCATGCAAATTAGATGCAATACATGAAAGTTCAACGGACAAGTTCAACCTTTTTATTTTTTATACTTTTTATTATTCTTTTAGTTATATTACAAGATACTTGCATAGTTTCTTCGTGTAACTGTAGAGTATTTTCTGCCTTCAATACCAAAAGAAATGTTCCTGAAAATACCACGATCGTCATGAAAAGGAAAATCGCAAACCTCAAGATATCTTTTACAAACATTTTCTGTAGCGAATCGACGTACACTCCAGTAAACCTACAAGTAAGACGCAAATATGATTTAAAGGTGTACTAGACGTCAAAGACTAATTGGAAATGCGACTTTTTGTGATTCCTAACGAAACAAGTAACGTAGGGTCATTTATAAGAATGGAGGATTAGATATTTCAACTACATGAATAGCTATTCAAATATGTTTATAACTAAACGGACGATTAATTAATAATAAAAACTATATTGGATGTTGCCACATTCTGTTGAATCGTTTACATTATTACTTACATGAGGGGATTTCGTTTTATTTCTTTTCCTTTTAAAAATGTTTTAGTTAGGTTATGTGATTTAGTTGATTTCGAACGGCCGAACAGTTGAAATTAAAGAAAATGAAATATAAAGTTGCTACTTACTGGAAGACTGGGGCATACTTGACTGTTTGTAGAAGCCAAACCAAATACGCAACAGCATATATATACCAGTGAGTTTGTTCATGTATATAACGTATAGGCAGCAACAGTAACAACATAACTGGTGATGTAATCTCAACAATATTCATTTTATCCACAAGATACTCCTTCTTGAACCTGAATACAACTACTTATATCACAAATTTGTTACTATGATACAATAATCTTGATTATTGTCTTATAAAAACATATGAATACAAATATAAAAAACATCTTTGACCAGGTTGAGGAATTATTCTTACAGCGGTAAGTGATAGTCGTGAAAATTAATGTTTATCATTTTGACACCTATGTTAATAGATATGTTAGTATGTGCACTTCTTTAATTTTATAACACTTTAAAAAGTTAGAGTTTGAGGAGACTGTTTATCTTTAGAGTCTTTGAATAACATAAATACGTTAATGTCCTGGAAAATGAATGACACTCATTTCAAATATTTAAAGTAGAAATCCAATATTTGATACTCGATGTTCAATGTATAAAAAATAAGCATACTTAAACGCTTGATAAATCTCAATTACAAGCATGCGAGCAGCATTTAGAAGCAGAACTGCCTCACAGATTGCCCGTAGATAGTCAATTGGCGATTGGTAAATAAGAACGTTTGGAGCATTGACACCTGTAACAGCAGCAATAGTCAGCAGCACGATGCTGAATAGGTAAACAACAGCGTCTATACTGAAAAGAAAATAAATATACCGTTCTCGTGCAGGTTTTTTTTAAACATTTTAACCTATTTCAAACTAGGATATTAAAGTTAGCAGATGGATAGCCTAATAACCATATATATATGAGGTTCCACTAGGAATAGAGATACAACATATCTTATTATTTGCAGAAGTCCTACAATTTATATGCATTATCCATGTAGAATTTTCTTATAGTGGACTAATGTGTATTGTTTTTAAAAGGTTGTTTGGCAGGTTAAAGGACTTTGTAGAAATTACATCTTTTTTTTCATAACAATTGCGTAACAGGTAGCGCTCGGAAACACGATTTTACAGCTGTTTATACTGTACAAATGAATCATACTAATACACACATAACTCTTTTCATATTTCTGCGTAAATAACAATACATATTTAATTCTTTACTTAGGATACATACGCAAAAGCACGTTTGCACCAGTTTTCCCATTTCTTATTTGTCAAAATCTGATAAGCTGTGTTGCATACGGCGTCCTTTGAAAAAAAAAAGACAAAAGCATGTGAAAAGTAACAGTGCTATATCTGAAATATAGATTTTGTATTTACGTTCCATAGACAGATACGTATAGTCTATTTTCCAACCTTGTGTTATTTTTTTATGTCAATAACAACGGTATAACACATTAAATTAATAAACATAAAATTATATCAACTAAAATTACTAAATTTACTACAACCCACGTATAATAAACAATATTCAAACTCATAAACATAATGATTTCTTGAAGAATTAAGTATCTTTGTTAAATATCATAATCAAACACTTTGAAAATGCTTATCATTTTAGTGTATAAAATCAAATGCTATCGATGCCCTTATTGAAAATGTTCATTTTAACAAAATTGGTAAGCGTAAGATAAATATTAAGACAAAATAGTTACAGCTTAATGTGAACACAAAAAGCCTGAGGATAACTGTTACTATTGAGCAATTATAAATCAATAGTAATGCTAGTCTTTTTTTCATGAAATAGGGTTGAGTTAACAAATTTAAGATACTGATACTGACTTATTGTACTGTCAACTACCTGACGTAACTTGATCATTTATATTTGCACAAGAATTTCACATTAAGAAAAGTGTATTTATTATCTCATATGTCAATTTCTTTTTATATGTATTTAAGCTGAATAAGTCTAATCAAACAATTCATTTGATTGGAATATTCAAGAGAAAAAAACACTTATTCTGTCTGAAAAAATGTAGAACAAGTCAGAACAGTAAGTGCTTATCAAACGATTGTGTATGAAAACATTTTGAGAATGTATATACGAGTATATTTCACTCAAACTCATGTTTTTGTGATAAAACACTGTATATGTCATTTGGCGACTTTACCAGTTTTACAAATGGAGGGAGACGTAGCCCTCCGTGCGGGAACTCAGACACGACCGGGTAACTTAGTAGAACCATCGGCGTTCCGTTAGCTTACTGGATATCTTCATTACATGAGAGAATCCATTGCGGTCCCCGACGGGATACGAACAACAATACAACCGTCGACGACAAATTGTTCGAAGTCAACGACCTTAACCACTTGAACACGGACGTCCCTACGTTCATTTATTGCACACCGTGTAAGAATATTTGTATAAATACAATGTATTACATAAAAGACTGATTTGTAAAAAGATCGTACCGACATTTAAATCAAAAGACAAGTGAAACCGGTGGACGCATTTTAAATTCATTCATTCACGATTTCAACTTCACTCATTCTTTGATTAGCGTGGAATTGCAATTGTGAATGCATGCTGTTAATTATGTTACCATAAAGTCGTGAAGAAATCAGAAATTCTTGATGTTGAAATCAGGAGTTCGTGTATCTTAAATAGATACTTCGTATTTCAGTCTGCATTATTCAGATTTATCTTCTACATCTTGATGATATTTCATGTGTCAGTCAGAGTATATGTGGTTCCTCACTCAAAAAGGTTTCTGATATCTGATACGTATTTCTTACTTTGTTGCTTTACGATATATTTCTTGTTAAATCTTTTTCATGTTCAGATTGTAATTAAAACGATTTTGAACAGAATTAATTTTGTTTGAACGTTCTTCTCATGTACGGGAGGGAAAACCTCAGAATAAATAAAGATTATATCAGAGAGAAATGAGAAAAAAAATCAACAAGATAAAGCCACAGAACACAGCATGCGACACAATCCAGCCACACCAGCAGAGCATTCAGACGGAACCAAACCAAAAACTTGGGAGAATACGGTGAAAGGAGGGGAGGGGCATATAATAAGTACAAGACATGCTCACGGGCAGAATGTCGATCCCGCTTGTCTTAATTCAAACCTGAACAAATAAACTTCAGATCAAGTTGAAAGATGTATACATAGATGAGAAGTGCGCAACTCACCCTTTTTATAACCAAGTCATCATTTTAGGTGGCCTTCACATCAGACCCGGTGACCTGGTTCATATACATGATACAAAGTCTCATGATGCGTGATGAACATTTATGCCTAAATAACTCAATTCATGCAATTTAAAAATTTTCCCATGTACGAAGAACTTAAGCCATGGACAAGTTTGGACACACGCACGCACACACAGACACTGAATAGCAATTTTGACAACTATGACGAGCTCAGCGGAAGCGGATTCGACAAAAATCCTCTGACCACTAAGCATAATACTTCAAAGCATAAACAAGATACAGTGCCGACATACTTTTGATATTTTTATCTGACATTTGACCTCTTGTGACATTGACCTTCATTTCGCACAATTCAACTCACCATGGAAAACATTTGTTCTAAGTTATATTAAAATCCATCCGTTTATATAGAAGTTTTACTAACAAATAAATGTTTAAATTTATTTGACCTTTGGCCCTGAAGTAAGACCTTGATTTTTGCCACAGACACCAACGATTTTTCAAAGAAAAGCAAAAGCAAGATACAGCCCCAACAAACAAATTTTAATACACTGTACTTTTATTTTGACCTCTCAACTTAACATTGAGAACATTTTTGCTAAGTTGTATTAAATTCCATCCATGAATATAGATGTTATACTCGCAAATGAATGTTTAATTTTGTTATTTGACCTTTAACCCCTAAGTGTGACCTTGACCTTTGCCACAGACGCGGTATTCCGCTTCATTACAGAGAATATTTGTCTCGAGTTATTTTAAAATTCCCTCCATGCATGTAAAAGTAGCGCTCCGGACACGGGTTTTGCGCTGACCCGTAAGTGTGACATTGATTTTTGAGCGACCGACCTTGGTTCTGCGTGCGACACACCGCTCTATCACGGTGAACATTTGTACCAAATTATTATTGAATCCGGACGGACGCACGAACACACATACACCGAACTATACGCCAAAAGTCACGACTAAGTTGAGCTCACCACAAGCGGGCTCTACAAAAATGATCAGGATTAAAAGAGGCCGATATGGGAATTAAAGGGACAAGGACTGTAAGGTTGGTTATGTGCTGACAAAAATGCTGATAGAAGAAGTGTAGCAGTTCTGCTGATGATTTGAAAATGTTCATTGAAATACTTATGCATGTATTTAGCTACGAAAATTGACTAGATAAAACTTGTCGCGTTAAAACTTAGTGTCATGTCAAATTAATGTTTACTCACGATTATTTCACTGCAAAGGTTTCCTTAATTGCGGTAATTACGTATATATGCCAAAATATAAACAACTCACATTCATAACTCTATCCATTTTAACAAAACAAAAGTGTGTTATACCTCTATACCTCTGTAAGCGATTTGCTGGAAAGCAGTGAAGTTACAGAAATCGTAGTCAGGGTCATTTGGCGTCCAACATTTATCGTCCATTTCAAGAATTTTGCACAGAATGTAATCCGCCTGATCTGTGTGTTTTACCAACTTCTCTAAAAGTTTTGTTATGGATTCCTGGAATAGTATGTAAATAATTATTTCATTAACTGTTTCACAATATCAAAACACTTTTACTGTTTAATATAAATCTTTAAATTTTTGCGTATTCTGCGAGACATGTTTGTACCATAAAAATTATAGACTCTACATTCACTTAACTAAAACATGGCTGTCAAATATTCATAAATAAAAATTACAAAAATAAAACGCCATGTTAAATGAAATCCTGCACTAAAATGACATACGTGTATTATATCTCTTGATATGGAGAGAAAATTTTCAATGTTTAAATTTAAATGGTAATATATTTGGCTTGTAGACAATGCCCTATATACATTTATAATTAACAAGTCAAGCTGTAAGAACAAAAGCAGATATTACACTTCGTTCCATCATGATAATCTTTAGTTTCTCGTGAGATCCGCTCTCAGAAAAGATCGATCGAACACTGAAATTGAGAAAATCATTTTATACAAAGTACAAATTCAGTTCTATGTTTATTTTAGTATACATTTTTTCTCTCCAAAAGTTACTTATATTACATCTGAATATGAATATGAACAATTCAAGATAGGAATTCATTGGATATGCCTGTATAATGCGTTTCCAACTCAGAATATATTAAAATGATGCTTTGTAATTGTTATCATTCACCAACAAAAACCTACAAACCTTAATGCAATGATGTTTTTTGTAAGATGCCCAAATAAGGCTTTTATGTAAAACATATAAGCTAGAACAATGTGAGACACTGAATTAATTTATAGCTCGCTCAAAAAGATTAAGTAGACGGAGTTTATACTCAACATACAATATCTTATTATTAGTGATACATTTTGTCAAGTTATTTTAAATTATGTTTTTTTCTTAAAAAGCGAAAGTGGAAGGATCGCACCAATGTTCACGACAGTAAAATCCTTTAGAACCCGCAAAATGTTAGAATGTCCTATTTTGACCGGTACAGTGCAATGAAAGACAACATATTAAGATGTTTCGCTTAAAAAGAGTGGTTCTGTGGCTTCAAGTTTTCGCGATTAGAACAGGAGGCAGTATGTAATGACACGCACAAAAGAAAATGTAACTCTGAGGCTGAACGAGATGTTTTACCAAGAAGCTGAAAATAGGCCGACAGCAAAATATACGAGACGGTTATTTAGATGATAAGAAAGTATTCGGATCATGTCAATATCTCAATGAAGTATATTTGTTGCCATTGCTCTTAAAGGCTTAATTTCTATCAAGAATTTTATGGATAAGGGAAAATAAATAGGATACGACATGATAAATCTGTAATAATCAGTTCCTGTATTTTTCAACAATTTAAAGAGAATGGCAAGTAGATATGAAAACAGGTTATATTTGAAATTCAGAAATGTAGTAACTTTAGTCGCACATATAGCGGTGACAAGAAAGAAACTGAAACTGAAAGATCAAATACTATAGAAAGATATGTGTCATGATATGAATAGAAATAAAAACATACATTTGTTTGTAAAACGTACATTTATAATCGAGATAATTGCAGTCCGCTAAAACCATGGACCTTATAGAAATCAAAGGGCTGCAACCTTTGTGGTATTTTCTGATCTTTGCAATCTAAATCATACTGACTATCTGTATGTATTTTCCTGTACAAGTTTATTTTTATATACTATAATTAATCTTACGCAGCGACTGCGTCTATAACAGTTTGAGATTGATACATATGGAATTTTGCATGACTAGAGTTGCATCAAAAATCATTTTTTATGACAGCCACACTTTATCCTTGCATATCGTGGCTACTTCCTTAAAAAAGACACTTAAAAAAAAAAGTTGCCTCGACTAGGATTTGAACCTTAGGCCTCTCACACCCTAAACGAGCGCGCTACCTCTGCACCACGATGAAGTAATACATATGTAGTTTGAATAAAAACAAATACATTGTAATTCTAATTTGAGAATTTCCATTTCGTGTTTGTAATCCTTAATAATTTCGAGGTATTTTGTTCACGATAAACCTGTTGTTTAACACTGATGAAAATAATTTAGCGAAAATCTTCTCGACAAAACAGTACGACATGTATATATTCCACTACTCGACAGTCAGATTTATTTGTGAACTACGCTCTGGAGTATTCGACATAGCTAAAATAGCATTTGCATTGATTAAGCTTTACGGAAATAGCCGAACATTTTTCATTGGGTAAAAAAGATAATTATCCGCGAAATTTGTGATTGTAACCTCATATTTCTATTGACTACTGTAAACTTTTAATGCACTGTAATTCGTTAAATGCCTACATTAAAAAATTATTCTTTCTTTTAAATTGCTGGTTTTTAAGCAGTTCTGAGTGAGAACTACTTTGCGTTGTTAGGTCTGTTAGGAAATTTTGTGTTAGACCGTGGATGTTAGCTTTGTATTTACTGATCTTGCGATCAGAAAATACAAAAAGTTGATAAACCTACCTTTCACTATCCATCTCCGAGATAATAACAGCTGTAATTTTGTCTGATAAAACATCAAACCTCTCTGTCAAAAACATCTTTAGTCTCATAGGCGTCATATTTATTTGAAAACAATACCTTGCTAAGTCTGAAAATCTTTTTGTAATACAAATATCTTGGAGATGTGACACCAACCGACATGTGATATCATTTTCATTGTTATGTGTGTGCCGAACATGCCCTTGCAGGTAAACTTTAAAGATATGAACAAGCTGAAAAAAATATGAAGGATTACTTGAAAATTGTAAAATTAATGGTCTTTACTCGTGAATAGAGACGGAACGATGTTTAAGATAACGGAGAGAAAAAATTAGTCACTAATGCAAACGCGCTCTACTGTTCTCTAACCATGATAACACAATGAGACGCATGTTATAAACAGGTAAAGAACAACTACATTGATAATTACCAGTGTGACCCGTGACTTGGAAATGCCGTTGTCGGACCCGATGGGAAATCCGTTCAACAAATTTTTTTCTGGGGTTATTTCGTACACAAAAGAAAACAAACACTTAAGATAGTTGAATCAACCAAAAGAGAAATTCAGGTTTTGCATTCATAGTGCTAATACATTAATGATGTCACGACATAAACAATTACCTGCACTTGTTAAGACTTTGGCGACCATTTTCTCTCTTGTATATAAAATATCAAAGAATTGCTATGTTATATAATATTATGATATTTTGTAATAATGTTATAGAGCTACTCATATTCATGTTCACGTTATTTACTATCTATACGAGTATAACAGTGAGAGTGAAATTCTACGTTAGTTTCGAGCATTTGGTATTTTGAAATTGATCTTCAAGAGCAAGAGTGATAGAAGAACAAATGAACACATGCCTGGATATAATTTCTAAATAAGGGGTCATTAATCTGATCATGCATTAGTCACCTGTGCATATTCAAGGTAATTTAAAGTAAACAACAAAATATACTAAGCACTACACTGAAAGTTAGATCGAATTTTACACACAAGCGCACACGCGCACGCACGCACACACTCACCCTTAATTTATTCAACAATAGATAGGTAAAATCATACCTTTGATTCTGGAACGTCGTTCAAAGTACAAATCACTTTTTCTAAGAAGTTCTCACAACACGAGCAATTACCCTGAAACAGATTTCTTCCAATGAAAGCATTTGAGCCCCGTCACGACAAAACCAACACACTGGGTTTTCGACCAGCATGGATCCAGACTAGCCTGCGCATCCGCGCAGTCTGATCAGGATCCATGCTGTTCGCTATCAGTTTCTCTACTTGATATAGGGTTTGTAAGCGAACTGCAAGGATCCTGATCAGACTGCGCGGATGCGCAGGCTGGTCTGGATCTATGCTGGTCGCAAACCCATTATGTTGGTTTTGTCGTGACACGGCTCATTTATGTTAAGATTAACAAAATAAAGGGGCATATGAATAACTTTAATATAAAATTTAAAATGAAATACAAATTCCTTAAGTCAAATGTTATAGATCAAGGTACAAAACCTTGGAGAGTTAACATGGGAACTGTCTTGAATACAAAAAGAACTTTTCAAATGTATATTGCTATATATCAGTTTACAGAAGTTTTCTTTGATTTTTTAAATAAAGAACAGCATTATAATTACCTAATGAAATACATATGTTGGTTAATTCCCTTTTGTGAATCATGCTGAACAGTTAAAAACCCTTTATAAAGTAGAAGCATAATATTTTGTTCGGAACATTTATTCTGTTAACATCCATTTTTCATGTATATATTACAACTAATCTGAGAATTTTCCACAAGGATATGGACACAACATAATTTTACCATTTATGAATTTAACAAATTACGTTGAACAAATCAACATCGCAATTATTTAGGCAATTGTGTTTACTTTGAAGCTAACTTTTTATATTGTTACACAAATAATACAATTTTAATGACATACCGTTTTGTCTTTGAACTCCAGATATAATTTTGGCACTTGATCCTTTAACAAACAAAAAAATTAAAAGTTTTAATTTTAAACTTTTATAGTATGTGAAGTGCAATATATTCTGAAACATCGAAATATAGTAAAAATGCAAATACATACTTATAGTAGCAGAGCTCGAAAAAGATTAAATCATATTAAAAATCAGTATAAGACTGTTAAAGACTTATTTATAGTTATCAGTTCTTGAAATTACCTAAAAATTGTATCTTTACCAAAATTTATTTATATATCCTATACAAATTTCGTAAATATTTATACATGTAATTTGATTTGTTTCAAGAATTATCAAGTGTATCGTATTGACAATGTCTACAAATTGGAACAGTATCCATTATGTGTACCAGTCAAAAAAGACGCAAAACAATATATCAACGTTGCAATCTATTCTACTGTAACAAGCTTTTATTTTCAGGAAAAAAGAAGCGAAGAAAAATACATTATCATGTCATGTGACGTAACAGAGATAACGCAATGTTACGCCATTTTATTAACAAAGGGATTTGTAAATAAATTCACCAAACGATAATAATAATTATGTCTCATATTGATATGCAGAACTTACCTCACCTCCATTTAAAGGTAAAAAATTGATGCAATTCGTTTTGTGTAGTTTATTTTCAAAGTCAACCTGAAATATTAAAAGTAAGTTTAGTTAAATTGAAGGATATTTAAAAACAACAACAACAATAAAAAAAACAATATTTCTAATATACGTAAAAGACTACTATTGAAGAAAACATGTACATATGAGTTTATCCATGGTAGGGAACAAAAACTGGTTCTTTATAGACCCACCTACAAGTTTCTTATAATCAAGAAACCACATTTGAACATGTTGCTGAGAGGGTGGCATTGGAAATTCTATATCAACTTGGATCAAAATATCAGTGCCTCAGCATTTGACGTTCCGGGCTTTTATTCTATGTAATTTCATTTATATATATCGTCAAGAGAATGAGTTTTTAAACTAAGGTCACATATAAGATCATATGGAAAATAATATTTACATTCCTTAGGCCAATATCAGTATTTTAATTAGAAGAGGGAAAAACTAAAAGTATAGGATTTTGCAAGGCTGCGTTTAATAACAATTGTCACTAAGAAATCCCTGAACAGCGACCCTTGTAGTACAAATACGGCGGATGTCTTATTGAACAAACAATCAATATAAATATATGTATGGTAAAATGATAAGATATAACTACATTGTATCATCATCATTTATTATCATTATTGTTGTTAAAGGAGCAGATTCAAAGAGAGAACTTACAAAGCAATTGAAGATAGTTTTAAACCCATGACACTCGAGGGGTTCTTTCCCATTTCTGAAAAAAAGGCAAAATGTTGTCGATGTAATGATTAACATTTTTAAATTTAAATAAACAAAACTCATTAATAGCTGTCTGGTATTGAAATACATTACGTGGAAAATATCACTTTTTGAAAATGTAAATGTGTCAGACAAAAATGCACTGTGTACAAAGTAACTTTTAAAAGGCAAATCACTTATGGTATTTTTAACAGCGAAACTGAGATTCAAATTATTGTATGTTTCACAATATATAGAGGATATTGCCAACAATGAAATATTTTCACTTCACTGGATAAAAATGAATCCAGTGTTTATATAAAACAAGCAAATTTGTTGAATTTATATCCCCCGACGACGACGTGTTATTACTAACACAGCAACTGGAGACATAAGCCTTTCTTTAAGTATTTATCATGGCATGCAAGTTTCCTTTTCGTAATGATGGTTTACTTAAAGTATTGTTGAAATCAACCCAGCAGTTAAAAGAAAGAGCAATATTGCTCTATATGCATACTGCACAACTAATCAATGGCATAATTCTGTCTTATAGGGTCTGACCGGAACAAGGCAATGATATACTCATCTTCCCTTTAAATTGATTGTGCCAATAAAGTTTCATTGAATTCCAGCCAGTACTTGCAGATAAACATCGTGGAAACAATTATTCTCCTTGGGTAGTATCTTTAAAATTTTGCAAAGAATTGAACTCCAAACAGAACTCTTGCAACGGAAAGGAAAATCTTAGAAAAAAAACCAAAAAAAAACAACATTTCTTCCAAAACCAAGAGGCCTAGAGCCCTTGCATTTAGTTTATACCATCATCTAGTGTTCCTCTACCAAGATTGTTAAAAACTGGCCCCGCCCCAAGGGTCACTTTGAATTACAAAGACTTATAGAGGAAACACTTAAAAATAAATCTTCTTCTCCCACACCAGAAGGTCTAAAACCTTTATATATTTATATAGCATCATCTAGTGGTCCTCTACCAAAAGTGTTTACAGCATCCATTTGGGTCGAAAATGTCCGAGCCCCAGGGGTCGCTTATTTTATATAGACTTATATAGGGAAAACCTTATAAAATCTTCTCTAAAACTATTAGGCCTTAAACCTTGGTATTTGGTTTGTTTCATCATGTGGTGATCCTCTACAAAAGGTGTTCAAATTATTCTTTTGAGGTCAAAAATGTTCCCGCCCAGGGGTCACTAGTTTCACAAGCAAGTGTTATATAGTTATGATTTGATTATGATTTGTTTTTTAAAACTATTTGGCATTTTATAGTTGGGTGGTTTCAATATTCCTACTTGAATAACGTTGAATCACCCTTAGGATATGTTTCCTGTTTTTAACTTAGTCTTTTGACGTCTTATCTATGATTTGCAGGCTTCATAACCTCTGACCCCCTTTCAAAATTCTATTTTGTTTAGTTCCGCCCATTGTTTTCTTGTTTAGCGCACACGCCTTTTATAACTTGGGGACCATACGCCGCAGTTTATGTAATTGCACGGAAGTGTCACATTAAAAGTTGCAGGACTGATATTTTCAATTAAGATAATTCTTACTTTGATCAAATGGTGACTTATATCTATCCCAATAAACTTCAACTGAATAAAACGAATTCTTGAAATTTTAAAACATAACTTATCAAGGGCCGTAACCCTAACTAGAAGGGTCTGACCAAAACAAGGCGACGATATGCACATCTCCTCTTAGTATTGATGGTTCCAAAAAAGTTTCGTTTAATGCCAGCCAGAAGTTGCAGAGAAATAGCACGGTAACGCTTATTGCTCTATATTCATACTGCATAACTAATCAAGGGCCATAACTCTGAGTTAAAGGGTCTAGCCGAAACAAGGCGACGAAAAGCGAATCTCCTCTTGATAAATTTTCGTTGAATTCCTCCAAATAGTTGTAGAGAACTAGTGCGGAAACGAAATCTGGTCGGACGGACGGACGGAAGACGGAAAACGCTAAAACAATATCCCCCTCGGGGATTAAAAAAAATGAATCTTCTGTTTATCTTATGTTTTTTGACCTGACGATTCGAGAGACGTCCCTTTTATTTTTGTGTATACGTATTGGCTGAATTTAGAAAGTAGGGTGCAAGACACCAGTGAAAATATCAAATTTATTTAACTTATGCGTCAAGATGGCCGTTTATTTCTGCCCGTCGTGAAAAATATTGATAAAAACTGGATATTTTATAACTTAAAAACAATTTTGGTGTAGAAATGACCTAGTAAATTACTATATATAAACCAGTTCTTTCAGTAACAGTGAATTGGCGCTTACCCATACACAGAAAAACGGATTAAATCTCTATGGAGGATAGTCGTTGCCAAAAATCCAGCCTTCGAAACTTGACAATGCATACTTCGGTTCTGCTTAACAGATTAGTAAAAATCTAATTGTCGATCCGAGTGTTACAATACAATACAAATCACTTTATTTTCAATTGTCACAGATTACATAACACACATTTAACATGTATCAAGCAATAACATGTGTACGAAGAGTAGCATAAATAATTAGTATGGGTAACAACATGGTCAAAAATATTCTAATTAATTATGTTTTGGGTTTAAGTGTTTCTGTATTTGATGGGGAAAGCGGACAATATTTGAAGTATTTATTTGAAAGCGGTGAAAAAAACAAAGTTTTGAGTTCTTAATATGCTAAAAAACAATAAAAAAAGGAAAAAGTCAGTGAACATACAGTAGTCAAAAATTTATGAATGAAGTAACCAATAATTTTAATTTTGGCCTAGGTACAACCGGGCTGACCTGGAAAAAACCCGTTTACTTCCAAGGCAGCAGGATACTTAAGCTTGACATTTCGGGGGCCATATTTTGATCTCGCATCCTTGTAATCGTGCCATAATTCTTGACGTGCTTCACGAATTTCTTTCGGGTAATCCCGGGATAGACCAAATTTATATAATGCACTGGTATCATGCATTTTGATTATCTCGATTTGATAAAATGGAAGCTGTTTACATGCAACTTAGATAAATTGAAAACTGTATTTATAAATGTATAACTTCAAATTTGCGACATGTAGAAATGTAAACGATAGAACGTACACAATACGTTTAATGCTGTGCATCGTGATGTTGAGAATGTAACTGCATCAACTTGACACACTCAGGTTGACAACACCACACTTTCCTTTTACATTCTAATGCAATTAACATTTGTAAACGATTTTGCAACTTCTATATATGGAATTATCACGGAAATAGACGAAAATTAATAGGCGGAGCCAATTTTCACGGCGGTAACTCTTGCTGGTACAAAAATATTTCAAATTATATAGAAACTGTAATAAATTGCCTTACAGTTGACTTTGAACATCCTCTGATTTTGTTAAAACGTATTCTAGTACAGTATTTTCAAGTAATGCAAAATTGGTTAAAATATAATGTAACAATGTAACAACGTTTATACTGATAATGAGCAAAATAATATGCAAAAACTAAAGTTGGTGAATTAACATTAGGGACTGTTTTCATATAAAATGACACACACCACTATTTGTATGGTGTGTGTGTCTGGTAGAACTCGTACGCATGTCTTTTACATTCAGCAAATAGTACTAGAATGCGATACATGGAAGTCGCTTTTGGCAACACGAATAAAGAAAACTGAACAGTAAGCCTGTGCCTTCTCTCAAAAACCCATATTTTTGACCAAGTGTATATCCACGGAACAATTCAAAGTTTACTATCGATAATTCCGTTGTATAACCAAAACGTTGTGAATTTGTCCCATTTTAAATTCAGTGTATCCTTGCATCTCTGTTTACCTCCATTGGGAGGTATTTTGAGTCATAGGATGTGATTTAGCCTTTTATTATTAAATATATAAGCTGACGTAGGTTAAGGTTTTTTATGCATTGTACTGAATCAATTACAGCTCTAAAATCTGAGTATACATGCTGTCAATAGCTGTTACCTAGACTTACTGTCTATCTGATCAAAAGCAGAGAACTATTTTTATGTACATGAAATATTATACAGAATATTTATTAAATTTTTTAAGTGATGGCTTTTTAAGAGATAAATTAACAAGGTATACATAAACAGATAATCAACATACATACCTTTGAACTCATTTAAATATAATTATTGAAAAACAAAATGGTAAAAATGGGAAAATATATCTATAGACCTTTTTACGACGCGGTCCGTTGCTATGAAAAATCGACCGGAATTAGAATTTTCTCGCGCAATCTGCGTAGGGCAAGAAATCCTTCGCCCTTCATAGAAATATAGTAAAAGTTCATAGACAATTCCGAGTTAGTTCAAGGTAAACGGTAGAAAATTATATTAAATAGCTTTCAAAAATATAGAAATGATGACTTTCTAACTTTGTGGCGAAGAATGCCATAAAATGGCATGAAAAAGATACTTGTTTAAGAATTTACGATCACGGATCAGTTTTTTAAAGAAGATGTGGAAATATATCTTTTAGCAAATGAAACGTCAACTTATTTGCTGTTGAAATAGTTCATTTAAAAACAAAAGAAATTATATAACATGAAATGGAGATTAATTATCATTCAGAAAAATATCAGAACAGGTGATAATGCATTTTTAGTGTTCAATATACCTGATTTTATCCTTTATCCGATTTGCCTGTGATGCAAACAGAAAAATTTAAGTCACATAAATAGTTTTTAAATAATTGATTATTTTTTTTCAAAATCTTGAGATGTTAAGATGGGTTGTTTGGAAAAGATATCACAGACATTTTATCCGCTTCTTCGTAATACATGTTATTTTTAATAATGCACGTGACACAATTTTTCTCTTCTCAAAATCCATAAACATTGATCGGTTTATTAAACAAGAACTGTCGGAGGACAGTAACGCTCGACTATTCGAAAATTTGTCACAAGGGTGTTTCATTGAGTATAATAATGCTTACCTATATGAATACATAAAATTGTCCGAAAAGGTACAAACTCTTCAAGTTTCAATACATTCCCTTCAGTAGTTATGGAGAGACAAGCTTA